ACGACCTGGCAAACAGTTATACCGAGGAAGTTACGGGAAGTCGTGCTGCGTCAATCCCATAATAATTTAACAAGAGGACATCTCAGAATTAGGGAGACATTGAGTCATCTACGACAAAGATTTTATTGGTTATTATGAGGCGGGATGTGGAAGAATGATGCCGGACATGCAGTACATGTTGTGCTAAAAGGGGACCCAAGCATAAAGGATGCCCACCTTATGAAGAGTTGCCTGAGAATGTGTCAGAGTTTGTGAAAGTGTTATCGGAAAGGATGGATGATATTCACCATCAAGTGCGTTCAAACTTGAAAACGTCTGCTGATTCGATGAAGTTAACTTATGATAAGAGATCTACTGAAGTCAGCTTTGTACCAGGAGACAAGGTATGGTTGTATAATCCCAGGAAGACCAAAGGGAAGTCTCCTAAGTTGTCTTCTCCATGGGAAGGCCCATATGACATAGTGGATCGTATCTCAGACGTGACTTTCCGGATAAAATGTGGTCGGCGAGGTAAGCCAAAAGTGGTGCATGCCAACAGGCTTTGGCGTTATCATGGTCCAGGACATTTCAGTTGGGACGAAGTGGACCACAGAACAAATGATGCTGCTGAAGACGTGCCACATGAAGAAGCCACCGTCGAAGAAGAAACTCTACTCAGTTTTGAGAAGGGAAACGGTGAATCTCTTGATGAAGTTACTACCATTGATGTGACTGTTACCGATGATAGGACATTTATTGATGAAGCAGATGAACCCCACATGAAGCAGAAGCCAACGTGACGGAGACCAGTACGGAAGAAGATACGTCCCGTAAAATTAAGAGACTTTGTTGAATTGTAATTTTGTGATTGTAATTCTGTACAGTTAATTAAGTTATTGTTAATTCTTATTGGTTTATTGTATGTGGTTATTGTTCGGGACGAACAATATTAAGGAGGGGGGCAGTGTTGCGTCATCGAGATCACGTGACTATTCTCACGCCCTCTACTTCCTAGAACTATCCTCTACTTTGGCGAATGCTCTAGCATTTACTAGATGTAGAGTAGTCTGGTATATAAAAGAGGGTGACAACGTGACGGGACAATAGTGTGTGTATAGGTAATGAGTAATTGAACTGCAGTCAGAGAGTAACGTATTGTTGAAGTTAACGTTCGTTGTTAAAACGTTTGTAAAAGAGCGACTGTTGAAAATAAGTGTATGGTGAAGTTATATTCAGAAAGAATAAACCAGTTTTATTAAGTAAGGACTTGTGTCGCTAAAGTTTCGTCGGAACGAAGTTACGGAAAGTTAATTAACAAACGGAGACGTAACAATACTAATATATGATTAATGTTAAATAATCAAGATTTCATTTCAAATTACGATTTTTTAAATCTCCATGATATTTTTTTTTACTTTTCTATACATATCTCCAATTCATTTTTTCTTTATGAACAAATTTAATATAAAAGTGATGCCAAAATGGATTCTTCACCAAAGTTTTGTTTACCTCAGACCAACTGCTCGATCTCCACACTGATCGTCTTGGAATAGAAGTAGAGGATGATGGTGTGAAGGAAGATTGTTTAAAAAACGGTGTTCTATTCTGCTGCCGGGAATTAAAGAGGTGATTTGTTAACGTTTCTGTTGTCGCTGAAGCGATAGTGGCTTGGATACAAGGTGGCAAATTGCACGCTGTTGAGTTTAATGGCCGAGTCTTGGTATCACAGAGGTAGTTTTGAACAATATCACCGTCCAACTTACGACAACGAACAGCTCTCATGCTGACGCCGTCTCCACACGTCACAGAACACTGTAATAGAAAAAAAATATATTTGAAGCACGTAATTAGTTGGATTTTTAAAAACGACATTGATCAGTTATAGTTATGTAATATGTTCAATTAAAAAAGTGAAGTTAATATATCCGTTTCTGGTATTCTACATATCTATTAAAGTTAAAAACTTGCCCCAAAAGCAAATTATCCCACCAACTGAAACATTGTATTATATCAAACAAGAAATATATTATTGCATTCTTAGGATAGATTATCACACAACGAGATGACACTGTCTATAACACAGTACAGACTAAAAAAATGATTAGGAGATTGAGTTTAAACGGTACCTTAAACGCACGTGAGCTAAGTGGTCAAGTCACAAACGCCAGCTAATAAGCCAAGCTCGGCACAGATTAAGAACGATCAAAATACATTAAAAATTGCTAATATAAAAGAAAAAACTTAAAAATATGTGTTATAAATCTATACTAAGTCAAATTGACATCATCAGCGTCACTCTTCCTTATCTTAAACAGATAAGTATTAATATGTCACTGGTGTTTCAAAATAGATTCATTAAAAGATAAAAACACTAACCGGACCCCAGTTTCCATGATCCCATTTAGTACAAGCTGGTTGGTTACAGATGTCTTTGTGTTTTGGGATCGTCTTAGAATTGCAATAAATACCACTAATAGCTTTACCGCCATGTTCACACCAGTAAAGACGGTGTCTTTCGCCTGCACCGCATGACATTGAACACTGAAAAACACCAGTTTAACATTAGAAGAAAACCAAAACAGTTGAAAGTAAAAATAACGAAAATAAAGTTTTATTTAGAACTTCATAGTCATGAGGCTATTCATATTTTTCTTATAAATATTTCCAATAGCACGCAAGGTAATGGTTTTATAGGTCCCAAGTTTAACCTGCAGGTATTAAAAATCTCAAAGTAAACACAGAAATACGAAAATAATCTTTTATAAAAGACTGATTTTATCCAAACACTTGGACTCGTGGAACCTGTACTTCGAAAAAAAAATACCTCTATAAAAACAGGTGTTTTGGGCATGATCGTACTATGCTGAATATCATTAGGTGGTGTGTCTTGATAAGTTGCTTCTTGGTAATTTGTTATATGATGTTTCTCTTCTACGTCTTTCATTTATGTATACACACATATATATACACATATGTATGTACATGTATAAATATCTGTCCATTTTCTCTTTTTTATGCATGTGGTACCGGCGAAATTGAGGTTAAACCGGATAAACGGTGTACCTCCAATACAACTTGGGTCTTACTTCCGTCGATACCGCAAACAACCAGAGCATGTTACATGATGACCCACCCTATGATTTGTGTCCCGGTGTTGCATATTTGTTTTGTGGCTGCGTTTTCATTTTTAAAGTATATTTTTTCATTTATTTATTAATTATCTATTTTTCCATCTTTACAAAATTAAATCTAATTATATAATTATATATATATATATATTTCTTTATACTATAGGTTTGAACAAACTATCTTATATGCTTTTATTCTGTATATTATAGTTAAATCATGGTTAAAATTATATTTCTGTCCGAGAATACATCTTAAAGTGTAAGTTATATTTATGAGGGAACGTATGTGGCCTAAAGTGTGTGATTGATGTAATTCTCTCTAGAAGCTGGGAAGGAAAATAACATTCTTTTTTCTCTCATAACGGAACAGTATTAGAGTTACCAGTCAAGAACTTGATAGTACTGGTCCCTGAGATATGATGGAATGTGCGTTATGATGAATTTTCCACGAAACATGACATTAATCAGGGGTAAAGAGTACAGGAACCTGCTTGGACATGACACTAAGCAGGGGTAAAGAGTACAGGAACCTGCTTGGACATGACACTAAGCAGGGGTAAAGAGTACAGGAACCTGCTTGGACATGACACTAAGCAGGGGTAAAGAGTACATGAACCTGCTTGGACATGACACTAAGCAGGGGTAATGAGTACAGGAATCTGGTTGAATCCTCTAAGGATAGCTTGACATGAACATTATAAGGTAGGCTCAAGGTTGACGTCTTTCCCCAATTAATAGAACATACAAATTTCCTCTTTAATATGTTAACAAAGTGATTTTTTTTGTTTAATCATACGTTAAAAGTTCCAATTATTGTACCTTTCATATGATTTTTAATTTTTCTTATTATTATGTGTAATGTAAAGTTGTCCGGTTTTCTTGATATCACTTAATTATCTTTTTTCTCTGTTTTGTTGTTTCTTAAACGAAAAATAGTCAATTTCCTTAAAATAAATTAAAGTTTTTCCTAACAACTTTCACAAAACAAAATATTTTCAGCCTGCTCTATTGTCAGTCGGGCCCGGCATGGCCAGGTGGATAAGGCGCTCGACTCACAATCTGAGGGTCGCGGGTTCGAATCCGCATCCCACCAAACATGCTCGCCCTTTCAGCCGTGGGAGCGTTATAAT